GAGATCTTTGATCTCATACAGCGGGATAAATGCTTTGTTCGCCAAACTGCCACAATAGATGGACAACGGGGCATGCGAGGTAATACAAAGCCTTATGGTCAAACGGTGATGCCAGCTCCACCAAGGGCTTGTACCCTAATAAACTATAAAATAATAATAAGCGTGATCTCCGCCTGGGGAGATCTAGAAATCAGGGCTCCCAGATCTTTAAAAGTCCCGGCTTTTTCAGCCGGCGTTTCCTCAGCCCCTGACGAAGGTGTCACCGCACACCGAAACGCGCGTCGGGCGACCGGCATGCTTTCACTTCACTTATCCAGTTTTTTTCTTTTTCACTAAGGGATATGCACTAAAAGGAATGAACACTTAGATTAACTTTAATTTTCTTTTATTTACTTCTAGCCAGTTGGGATGTGGCAGTAAAAGGCAGTGGACCTATTAGAGTGAGCATTAGATTAGAACACCCATGAAGGTGTTTTATAGAGCTTAGGGATTTAGTTTGAGGCTTATATATTAAGTCAGTTAGGAAGTGTGTTTCCTTTCTGTGCCTTATAATTTTCTTTTCCTTCTCCCTACCTCTATTCTTAACAGGGATTACTGCTCACCAACTACTCTATTATAAGGTATTAGTCCTTCCACTTTGTCTCTAAGGTTTTCTAGTCCTATTTTCAATATCTATTTTGGACGTCTATATCAAGACTTTAGTATTATATCTACCACCTATTAGTCCTTATAGAGGGGATTCAGTATAGTACCTTCCCCTTCTTATTTTGTTTTGGGGGGAGGGGGGGCTTACCTTTGGCTATTTTTACTTCAAGATTCAATAAAGATTTTTTATTTTAATTACTAATTTTTGGACTTAGTCCAATTAGGATATTTGAGGGCTTTCTTTGGAACTGATAAGTTTAATGGTTCCTTGCCCTGTTTCCTTTTCCCCTCTATTTAGATCCCTATACTGGCCATTTCAATTTATGTACGGTTACTCCAAATTTTGTCCATTTATTTTTTGCCAGCATTTCTAGATCTCCCCAGGCGGAGATCACACTTATTATTATTTTATAGATCTTTGATCTCCCCAGCGGTCCATGAAGACACTACAGCAGGGCCGGTGCTCCGATAGGGGTTCCCAACCCATGCAGCCGCCGTTACTGAAATTAGTTTGTGTACCCCTTAGGTCACTGAATTGTACCCCTGGGGGTACACGTACCACGGGTTGGGAACCCCTGTTCTAGTTAATCCTTTAGTAAATATCCCTGTAACTGTTAGAACTTCGTGTTAGCACATTTTTATGGATGAATAGTAAGAGGATTGCCATTAACTTTACATTATACTTTTTTTTTTTTTTTAAATTGATGAAACATTTTCAATCACTTCAGAAACAAACAGTATTTTTTTCTGCTTATTTTTTAGTTCTGTCCTGCAAAATGTCTTTAATTGCATTGAAATAAAGTAATATTTTAACTTCACATAGAGCCTCGCAATAAATTATTCATCATCAAGTGCCAGGATTTTCACACACATCTCTGTATTATCTTGTATCAATCATGCCCTACATGCTTCCCTTCAATTAACCCTGCATTCTTTGCTTCAATTCAATTAATCCTGTCTTCTACCCTTCTTTCCTATTAACCCTGCATGTTATGTTTCTATTGTATAAACACTACACTCTAAGCCTCTCTTGAATCAACCTTGCATTCTGTGCTTTCTTTCTAATAATGCTGCTATAGATATAGGTGGGGAGGTGGGAGCAGGGGGAAGGAATCCCCTTAGATAATTATTTGGGGTTTGAGTCATGTAAGACCCCCTTTTGCTCTGATGTGTTGAGGCATGGACGACAAGAGAACATGTATTGTGGTATCTGACATCTAGACTTTAACAACAGATCCTTTAAGTCCCTCAAGTTGCAAGGTGGGGCCTCCACGGATCAGATTTGTTCTGAGCCCTACATGCAGGGTCGTCTTTAATATTGAATGGACCCTGGGCAAGAATTAGCTTGGGCCCCCTGGACTCTGTCCCCTATCTATCACTCACTGGAATGCAATCACACCCTACATGCCACCGCAGTGTCGATAGTAGAGAGGGCCCTGGTACAAGAATTTGTTGTGCTTCTTATCACAAGGGTGGCCAAAAGGTAGATCCCCATCTGTTTTGCAGCTCCAACAATGCTTTGACAGCTGGGGCTCTACATTTTCCCATGCTTGCAGAGTTGTATTTAGCACTGAGCAGTGTTTGTGTGTTTGAATGCAAGCATGTTTTTGTATGGTGTATGTTAGTGTGAATGTAGGAGTATGTTTGTATGTGTTGTTGGTGTTTGAATGCAAGTATACATTTATGAGTAGTGTTAATCTTTGAATGCAAGGCTGTGCTTATATATAATTTTGATGTTTAACATAGAGGTGTGTTTGGATGTATTGTTGATGTTTCAGTGAATGAGTGTGCTTGTATAAAGTGTTCACGTTTGAATGGAGGGGTGTATTTGTGTGTCATGTTAGCAGTGGTGTATTTAGGATTTGTGCTGCCCTAGGCAGGACGGTGCTCGGGCACCTCCCCCCATATTTAAATTTTTTCCACCCCTTCCTGTCAAGGCCGCACTTTGATTGACAAACGCTCACTCACTGACAGACGCACACACTCATTGATAGATACATACACTCATTGACAGACACACACTCTTATATACACTGACAAACAATGACATACACACACTCACTGATTTGACACACTGATAGACAGACATACACTTACTCGGACACACACTTATTGACAGACGCACACTCTCACTGACAGACGCACACTCTCACTGACAGATGCACGCACTCACTGACAGATGCACGCACTCACTGACAGACGCACGCACTGACTGACCGACACATACACACTGACTGACCGACACACACACATTAACTGACAGACACATACTCACTGACTGGGCAGACTAGATGGGCCGAATGGTTCTTATTTGCCGTTACATTCACTGACAGACACACACACTCACTCACTCACATTCACTGACACATACTCACACACATTCACTGAAACACACACTCACACACATTCACTGAAAAACACATTCACTGACACTCACATTCACTGACACCCACTCACTCACATTCACTGACACACACACTCACTCACATTCACAATTATTATTATTTTTATTATTTTATTTTTTTTAATTTAAATCCACCCAGCCTCCCTACGTTTTGGATAGCTGGGTGGATTTTTCACCTGGGGTCCAGTGGAGCTGCTGGGCAGGAAGGCAGACGGACGTGCAGTTTTCAGCGAGGGAGCACTTTCCCCTGAGCTCTCTGCTCAGCTCCGTCGCACGCCGCAGAATGATGCCGGGAGCCGGAATATGACGTCATATTCTGCCGCCCGCTGCCCCAGGGGAGCCCAAAGGTGGCCAGCCGGCAAAGCTCTTGGGCTCCAATAAAACGAGGCAAACAAGGTATTTGCCTGGGCATTCGGGAGCTGCGTTTTTTGCAGGAAATGCCGCCCAAGGCAAATTTTTTTTAAAGAAATATAGAATTTACTCACAATATTTAGAACCGGCTTATACTGCTCGATGTAAGCGTATGGGTGGTATAATCCCCACCTATGGATTCTTTGTGCTTCTTTAGTAAGTGCTGAAAATCAATGTAGCCAGGTAAAAACGTGTAAAATAAAAAAGAATAAAAAAGGAATATGGCAATCAAAATGTTTTGTACCAAAATAATTCCTTTATTACAATATAGTGAAAACAATATCTAGACGCGTTTCGCCTAAAAAGGCTTCTTCAAGTAGATAATAATAAAAAGAACATAACCTGACATACATGAGTTTATATAGGGTACAATGATACTATTGAAATTAGAATTTCCCGCCATAATGACGTCATCATAATCTCATTTGCATAGTACATATCATAAATAACACTTTTGGACATTGCAATATATAGAGACATATAATGTTAAAAAGTTGCAGCTATTTTTGTTGCAAAATGAAGCTTAAAACATATGTAACTAAAAGTTAAAAGACGGTCACGTGACGCGTGGTTAAAACACTTCCGCGTCACGTGATGCCGAATGGAACGCATGCTTTCCGTTTCAATGGAACGCATGTGTAAGCCTCTTAACCTATCTCTCTGTGGCAGCCTAGTGCTGACTCTTCTCTTTGTTTTCTCCCAATGTATGTGTATGTGTTATACAAATGGCGGGTCGGAGGAAGATACATGGGGGGGACCCAGGGCACTTTTTGCACCTGGGGCCCTGTGTTTTCTAGTTACACCTCTGGCCGTGGTTATAGTGTCTGAAGCCCCCTGGTGTCATCCATTTATTCAGTGTTGAAAAACACTTTTAATGGTTTAATGCTAAATGAGAGTTCCCAGGAGCCCATCCTCTCTGCGCTGTTAGGACAAATAAGGAAGCATTAGCCTGGGCAGCAGTAAACATCTGTGAGTGGCTAAGAGTGTCAGCTGACCTATCAAAAATGGTTTAACACTGGATAGAGAGAAAATGCCAGTGGACTCTAGGCCTTATAATCAATTCAATTAGATGAAATGGTTACAGGATACTACAGTGTCTCTTTAGTATCCTGTTATAACCTACAACTAGCTTGGAAAGAAACTTACCTTTTCCAGCCCAGTTTTATGAATAGGGAATCACTGATTGGTTGAGAGCATTAGCTGACCGCTCTCAGCCAATCAGAGATTCCCCTGCCTGGTGGCACTCCCTGCTTCCTGAAACTGAAATTTGCCTTCTGGGGGGAGAGTTGAGATCCACACTGAAGGCAACTTTGGGGTTAAACTGTATAGAGGACAGTTTAACCCCTGAAGCTAAGAAGCTAAGAGTGCACTTGTGGGCCTCTTGGCACCATAACAACTTCATTTAATGTTTCCCTTTAAATGAACAGAATGGAAAAAAACACCTACAAAAAGAATGTAGAACAATTTTTGTCTGTACAAAACCATAATTGGAGCATGCTTTCTAAGGGAGACGTGGTTTTTCTTTTTGGACTTTTCAGCATGACAATGACCCTAAGCACAATGTCAAGTTGACACTCCAGTGGTTACAGCAGGAAATGGTGAAGATTCTGGAGTGGCCATTACAGTCTCCTGACCTTAATACCATCAAGCCACTCTGGGTAGATCTCAAGCGTGCTTTTAATGCAAGACGACCAAAGACTTTGCATGAGCTTGAGGCATTTTGCGAAGACTAATGGGTAGCCATATCACCTGCAAGAATTACAGGGACAACTATTACAAAAGACTGCAGGGTGTCATTGATGCTAATGGGGGCAATACACAGTATTAAGAACTAAGGGTATGCAGACTTTTGAACAGGGGTCATTTCATTTTTTTCTTCGTTGGCATGTTTTGTTTTATGGTTGTGCCATTCTGATTTAACCTACAATTGAATATGAATCCCATAAGAAATAAAAGAAATGTGTTCTACTTGCTCACTCATGTTTTGGTCCATAGATTACCAATTCTCCAAGGGTATAATTCACTAAAAAAATCCCTTTTAATTCCCAACTTTTCTTCTTTTAGTTAATAACCCTGACTGATACGTAATGCCATGAACTGCATCTCCTTAGCTATGGGTTTTACTTAGTGTGTACACTGGTGAATGATTGCAATTAAACATGCTCCATGCACATATGTTCAAAATAATGTATTGCATATGATCTATAAAATGATTCAACAAAATGTTGAATAACTGCCTGCTTCCTTTTTCCTTTCTACAAATACTGTCTATTTCAACTCTTTCAATTACAGAATATTTGAAACCTTTTTCCTTTTAATTATTTCTTTCCTTTGCAATCTAAACCTACTTCTAAAAATTACATGTTTTTAAATTCATTTGAAACATGTCTTTTGCTACCATAGTTTTAACATTTGTACCTAGGTTCTTACATACTTATACTGTACACTATATAGATGCTACGAATATACTTTGAGTTTTATCTACCTCCAGAGAAAGTCCATCCTTATAAATAAGGGAGAAACAGATGGTACTTTTTTCAAGACAGTCCAAACCATATAGAAGGGATTTTATTAAAGACAGTTGTATGCTTGGAATTTCCAGCAAGCTTGCCCTGCACCCTAATTTCACTATATGTTTGGTCCAATAACACATTATTATTATTATTATTATTATTATTATTATTATTATTATTATTATACTTTTTTTATAAAGCGCAAACACATTCTCCAGTGTTGTACATGGGTACAATTGGTACAAGTAAAAAGACAAAGGTACAAGACATCTGAGACAATGCACAGTGTGACATACAAATACAGGGGTAGTTGAGGGTTCTGTTTCTGTGGGAACTTACATTATAATTGATAGGAAGGTTGAGAAACAGGAGGCAGGAACCAGCTGGCTATCCCACAAATCTCTGCACCTTTCATTCTAGGCTGGTGGTGTAGCAAGTCTTTTTTGTCCTATATAGAGGCACTTCTTGCTCTGATGTAGTGCCATCTGGACAGGCAGGGGGGTCGTTTTTTTTTTCCCCTTCCACCCTGGCCCACAAAACACTGTTGTGTGTCTGCCACAGTTGGCTGCAGACTGAAACCTGTCTTTCCATGTTTGGCACCATTAACCATTGGATTGGATTCTAATCGAGTCATCACAGAGACACAGGAGAAACATTCTGTGTCTGTTCATTTCTCTTTTACTTGTGTATATGAATTGCATCCTAATCTCAACGGCACTGTAATATCTATGTAAAACATCCTGTTTTGTGAAGATGTGTGGATTGCTTGTGTTAGGATCATATAGTGTTCACTCCCTGGTTATGGCACTGACGATGGTACCCCAGCACCCATGCTGCACACATCATTGATTTGTATTTAAACACCCAGGATGCTCAGCTACCTTCTTCTTAGTATAGCAAAAGCCATTGTTGCATTTTAGTTAACAAATTATTAATAGTCTAGTACAGGGGTAGGCAAACTTGGGCTATATCTGCCCTAATGAATTTACAGCAATAATGCAGGCAAATTATCAAGGGATGTGTAGTCCACGACTACAGTGGGGCTCTAGTGTATTAGTATGTTGGTATATATATATGGGATTAGCTGTAGTTTTTGGAAACTGATATTCATAGTAACCAAGAGTAATAAGGAGCTGCAATTCAGCTTAACTTTAACTACTGTTTATTTAATGTCTGACAGATTATACCAATGGTACATATGGTGCTAGATATGATAGAAACCCTAACAACATTGATACTCTTGTATCTAATTACAGATCTACTACCAGATGAAGATACCTTAATGACAGAATCATAATTTGTTGGTTTCAGACAGTGTATTGTATATATATATATATATATTTTATATAATATTTTATTACGCAACAGAAAGAGTTCAATATAATTCATACTATTTGTTTTGAAATGTGTTGTCTTTGAGAGAATTACTCTAAACATATGCAGATATTTTCTCAGTATTTATTTTTTGTAAATGCACAAGAGTAAAATAGTGCCGACCCTTACCTTTTATGTAACTATACCCCACTCCCTCAAGAATGTAAACACATTGAGCAGGGCCCCCAATCCCCCTGTTCCTGTGCATCCATTTGTCTGGTTACAAATATGTGTCTGTTAGTCCACCAACTGTACAACGCTGCAGAACTTGGCGCTTTATATATATTAATAATAATAACAGCTTATTGCAGAAGTGGTCACAAAGCGGTGAAGAATTGAGGGACACAACAAGGGGTCCATTGGCAACCCCCATACAAATAGACATGCAAAACACCCACAAATGACAATGGGGGTTGCCACTTTATGTAAGTTAGAGCGTTGCATGTTCTCCTCAACCCCTCTTTCTTCTAGTGTGTGTTCATATCAAGCATGTTATGCTGTCTGGTACTTTAGTGATGGAGGGAAGAATTAAATGTTTAGGTTTTTTGTCTAACAGTATACTAGGTTAGATTATTATGAATTAAGTAATGTTAATGTGGATGTGTGTGAGCTTAGGGTTGGGTAATGTGGGCTGTGAATCTCTACTAACTTGCTTATTAGGTACTGTACTCTCTGCTACCCTACAATTGCTCCATCTTGCTAATCTTGCCAAAAATGATACTGCATCCACCTGTCAGTATATTAGTTCTGCAGCCTGTTTCATCTTATGCTAGCACTGCATCCATCGTTCTGCTTTAGTAACACAGTTCTCTTTGTACTAACACTATCTTCTTTCTCTTAGAACACTGATGACAAACCTATGGCATAGGACCCATTGCTATCTCTGTAGGTAGCACTCAACGTCTGCCTTCAGGTAGCTATTATACCAGCGGTCCCTGTAAATGTTGTACCTTAAAGGGTAAGTGTCAGTTCTAAAGGAAGTAACACGACTGAATAAAACCTTGAAAAACACTTACAACTTGCAATAACCTTTTTTATATTTTGCTTTATTTTCTGTTAATGTTATATTAAAATTTAGCAAATTACATCACAATTCAGCTCAGTCCAGGCACAACCAAGGCACAAATTACAAATGAGGAGGAGAAACGGAAGTATTGTTTTATATTCACCACTGTTTTTTCTCTACTGACTGCCAGGTTCAAATGATGAAAATTCGAACATAGACTGTCAGTGAGCTAAGATGCCTAGTTGCAAGATAGACAGAGTTGTAGGTTTCTACATTTTATTGTATTGTTCACAAAACACAAATATTTTTTTGTTAAATATTGGAATATGTAAACAGAATATCTAAAACCCTGGGAAGCTTAATGTGTTGTAAGAGATCCCTCTCTACATACCTCAAAACAGAATGTACCTGTCATGGTTGATTTTATATTTCCTGCCTGTTAAATTTTGTATTTATTGTGTATTAATATTGTTTTTGTAATTTATTGTACCCTAACTGTAACAATGCAATGATTTGTGGACCCAGGACATACTTGAAAACGAGAGAAATCTCAATGTATCTTTCCTAGTAAAATATTTTATAAATAAATAAATAAATTAGGGCATTACCAGGCGTTATGTCCACCTAGTGCTGAATACATATCAAGCAGTTTAGATGTACAGAAGCAGGCAGCAGCTGTACAGGGAAACATAACTTGTGTGGTGGGGCCGAAAAAAGTTTCCCTATACTGTTTACAATGAATAGCAAGGCAAATATATTTTAAAAAAAATAGAACGGGATTAGCAATTCGGAAAGAAGGGGGTTAATGAATATCAAGATACAATTAAAATGGTGCAGAAGTGGGAGAAATACATTAAATGGAGTAAATGGGAAACAAAGAGGAAGAAACGTACAAGTAAAATGGACGGAGAGGGTGAAAACCCAAAATAGAGAAATGTCAAGACACAGATATAAATAATGGAAGAGGAGAACAGGGCAATTTAAATTGTCAGAATGCAAAAAAACAAAAGGGAAGGGGGACTGAAGGGGAGAAAGGGTGGATGAAAAAGATATTTGACCACTTTCTAATCTTATAGTAACAGACAGTGAACATTTAAGAATTGTCTTTAGTTCTTTGCTTTATAAACCTCCTCCTCGCTATCCCTTGCCCATCACTCAGATCATTTTATATCTTGTACAGTAGTACAGCCAACAGCCAACTCTTGATCTTAACCTGCACTGTCTGGTTCACTTAGCAGATATCAGGCACTCATGTATACTAATAGTCAACTGTGCTCTCTACTGTAATTAACCTTATCTGTGCAATGTAAACCTGCACCGCTTCTCACCTTTCCGTATATTAGAAATATAACCTGCCCTTGTGTTACCTTTTACAGACATCTCACCCTCTGATCAGTACTTACCTCTTCTGGTGACACTTATCCCATTGTGAACAATCTTCTCTTACATATAGTTGCTATATATTCTGCAGCTTTATCCAGGTGAACAGATTACAAACACAGATACGGTATTGAAAGAACTATAACTATATAAACAGATATTGTCATTGCAGCCTGCCAATACAAAGTTGGAAGCCAGATTATATGAAGCAAATGAAGCAATGTTTAGTGGATATGCCCCAGTCTCCTGCTCATTACTGTCTCACTCATATGTACCCTGATAATGCGTTGCCCTGATTCCTGGAGGATGAATCCACAAGAACATATGGTATTCTGCGGAGGATGAATCTGTGCATTAACAGATGGTGCTGTGTGATTAAATGGGAATCAGACCCTGCGAGCCGATCACAGATGGGGGCTATTTTCACTTAATAACACAAAGAAAAAAATGTGTCTTAAAGTGCTTTAAATTGTATAGTACATGTTGTTTATTA